ATGTATTGCAGTCTTATCTGGGAAACTACCTTGCGATTGGACCGCAAAGTATTCTATCAGTGTATGGTCCCAGTGCTGACCTATTACTGCGAAATGACCACCGAGCTTAAGCCTTAAAGCTATTCAGACTGCAGACTGCGAAATTGCAGCTCTGGTTAACGTGTATGTTGGAAATAATAGAAAAACATAGGAGAACGAATGAATAGGTAAGACCATAAACAGTGGTCTGCGATGTCGTTACCTTAGCGAAGATGTTTTAGTAGCAGTGGAAAGGATGTTTTGCAAAATGAACTGACCATCACTGGACGGGATTGACATTTGACTGGGTTACAAGCTAGAACAAACCAACGGCTTGTTGGAAGACCTTCAGATCGATAGAAGCATGAACGGAACATGTTCGCTGGATTAAGATGGATAGAAGTTTATGGCAAAGTCGTGTTGAGGCTTTCATCAAGCAGTTGATTCAGAAACGGTAATGTTGATGAAGTTAACAGAAAATGACAACTGCGCCTTTCGTACGTTCTAAGTTTTTGTTGCAGTATCTTTTCCATTTTGGCCACCGAATCTAAGCAACCTTCCTAATCTAAATCTGTAGTTGATTATGCTTAGTTTTTGCTCTAAAAATAGGTTGCTTTCTAAAATTCTTGAAACGCGAACCGATGTGAAGGAGCCAAATTTCTTGCTGTTTGTCTTTCGAAAAACGACACTCTTCAAAAGCAGTGTGGGGGAGGGCATATCGGACGTTTAATATTAATGTTGCTGTGTGTGTTTCCTAAAGTATGTCGATTTTGGGCTGCACACTCGGCTTTATATCCTAGCTGGTATACGTTTTTTGTTCTGAACGTTTTTCAAGTAGGCTGCTGAATTTAGCGTGGAATTTGCAAATGGCATTGAATGACGAAAATCGATGTTTGTATGCCATGTTTAGCTGTGCTTAGCGTCGAATGCTTCGCAGCTGTCGTCGTCCATTTGCCACTTTAGTCGCGTAAACGTTTGCACGCCAAGCCGACAGTCATGCGATTCGCCTAAGTGAAGAAGCGTCCTCGACGCCTTAGTTCCTTAT